GAATTCATGGAAAACCATACCTCCTCTGCAAATATTTGTTCTATATTTTTTTTTTCTATATTTTTTTTTCTTCAATAAGTAAAATGTCATTCACACTGTAGTGCAGACCTTTTAGAGAAACATAAAAATACAGTCTGCTCACAATTTGTGCCCTGAACTAACCCCTCTTCCCTCAGAGTTTTAAATTATACCCTCTTGTATGCAGATACACTGCCTCCAATATGTGCCTGAATTAAACCCCCCACACGGAGATATGCTAATTTTATGTCCCCAACATGTGTAGTTCTGCTCCCAATATGAATTATATCCCCCTTCCTGAACAGATTTTCTGCCCCCAATATGTGATGTGAATTACCCCTTCACAGACTGTGAATGATAATTCTCTTGGCCCCAATATAATCCTAAAACTTGTATGTATTCCAAATTAATTATGACAATGCATATTCATATTTTAACAAACTACGATAAAGGAAATAATATTATAAAACAAAGGGCAAGGTCACCAGAGTTAAACTATGTTTTATCTGAATTCTGATATGATATAATTTTTAAATGTGTGATTATCATTTGACCTTGTTCCATTAAAAATGATTTATGCTATTACAGTTGAACCTTTGTACAGTGAACACCCAAGGTGGTCGTTATACGGAGGATGGTAATAATACTAATTATATTGCGAATGACTTATCAGTTCATTTGACCAAACCTATGACAAAAAGTTACTTTAAACACAGGTTACTTAAAAGCCTGCCCAGCGCTGGCAATGGTCTGCAAATAGTGTTTTTATAAAAGTGGTCATTAATAATATTAATGTATTTTTTCTTCAAAAAAAATTAGGTAACATGATTTTTTATCATAACACGTACGTGTGTACGCATTGGGTTTTATGTGGTTATCCTGTCTGATTGTCTGTCTGTTTTTCTTTTGTCTCCTGCTCACAGATGTTTGATGATGGAGAGAAGGGTTACATTACACAAGACGAGTTATCACAAATCCTACACAATGCATTTGGCATGACTGAAACCGATGTCGCTAAACTCTTCCAGCAGGTGGACTCCGATGGGTGTGGTCGAATCACTTATGGTAAGTTGTAGCTACGGTATTACTGCTAAAAAAATAATATTCATTCATATTTCAGTAAATA